CCACATTTCCTAGTCGATTTCCTACAGCCTTGACGATTAATAATGGAACCATACAGGACTTAGAACAATAATGAATCTAATTCTTAGTCATTGGTGGTTGGTAGCTGCTAACCTTAACATTTCCTAATCTGAAGACATTTCTTAACCATTAATACTTCGATAGAATGGTAAAATAATGACAAAGAATATTTAAAGGGTTCAGAGAGTACCTGACCCATTGTTGCCCCTTGATGAACAGAAAATAATATTATTTTGTATTTATCCAGATACCATTAAATTTGTTAAATTTTATGTGGAAGACCTGAGGCAAGAAATATCTCACCCAAGATATTTCATGAAATTTGGCCTTCAGTTCAATTTTGGACTTAACTTTGTCATTTACCAGTGCTATGGTCTTGGACAAGCTTACAATTTTTCATCTATAAAATGGAAATAATAGGAGTGCCTATCTAATAGGTACCTTTGGAATTATTAAATGAAATGTTCTATATAAGGTTCTGAGAATATCACCTGACACATGGAAACACAGAAATAATATGAGCTATACAAATAAAAACTTACCTAGAGCTTCATCCCTTTCTTTTAAAATTAATTGATATTTACAGTTTCAAGAGCTTAGCATGGCTTTAACTTCAGTAGCAATATCTTAAAAGTGCACATGATGGAGAGGTTGCTCCATGCAGAGTAGACCAGCCATTCTATAGTAAAGATTATATTATCATTAATTTACCACTTATGTCCTTGCTTGAGAGGAAAGGCTAAATTATACATATATATTAATTAGATACAGAAAGAGATTAATATATAGATTTACATATGTATGTGTAGGTAGATATGTTTATTTGTTGGTTGGTTGCTTTATCATGCAGCTATTCTATTTGGGGGAACAATTTTAATGCAAATATTAAAGAGAAAAATACCAACATAAAGATAAAATAACAGTAACCTTTATATTTCCTAGACTATTCATTAAATAAAAAAAATCATCAGACATCCAAGTGCACTGAGAAGCAACAATAGCAGTTTCTCAAAGAGGAAAACTATGTACACATACACACACACACCCATACACACACACAGAACAGCAAACTCCCCCAATTTCACGGACTTTTCATTAGCAAAACAAGCTTTCTGCAGAGGAAATGAAAAAGGAGAGGACTTTTCATAATGTGGAAACTGTCCATGTGAGAGGAACAGATGCATTCGACAAGGATGGTAAGTCAGATGCAGTCTAAAAGTCGAGTGAGTCAACATTGAAATAATTATCAAACCTTTCCTCAGATAGAAATGGGGGCAAAAGGAAAATAGCCATGGTGCAAAAGACATATTCATGTGGCGATGACTTAGCAGCAGTGGACAGGAAGCTGCTAAGAATAAGTTGTGTAGCCAGAGACGGAGAGGGAAGGAGCTGGCCTTGCCCTCCCTCAGGTCCTCTCCCTCTGGCCATCTTTCTCTTTCACCAGAGGCGCCCTTTGTGAGGATCTCCTCACCTCTCTTAGTGTGTCCAGTTTACTCTGGATGTCCTCCTCTGTTCTCACCTGGCTTCTTCCTAACAGACGAGAATGCAGAAATTATAACTTTTTGAGGTATTTATTTAGTAAAGTGGGTTTTTTTGTTTGTTTGTTTGTTTGTTTTGAGATGGAGTCTCGCTCTGTCACCCAGGCTGGAGTGCAGTGGCACGATATTGGCTCACTGCAACTTCCAACTCCCCAGTTGAAACAATTCTCCTGCCTCAGCCTCCTGAGTAGCTGGGGCTACAGGCATGTGCTGCCATGCCCGGCTAATTTTTGTGTTTTTAGTAGAGCCAGGGTTTCACCATGTTGGCCAGGCTATTCTCAAACACCTGACCTCAAGTGATCTGCCAGCCTTGGCCTCCCAAAGTGCTGGGATTACAGGCTTGAGCCGCCACATGCAGCCCTTTAGTGAAGTTTTATTCTCTGTGCTTAATTTAATAAAAATCAGGTTAAATTTCTTCTCTATCTTTCTTTTAAAAAGCTTCTTTTTTATTTCTGTATAGCAAAGCATTTTATGTATATACACATATATATATTTTTTGTGTATTTTTTTATATGTGTGTATATATATATTTTTTGTATACATATCTGTGTGTATATAGATGTGTATACACACATATGTGTATTTTATAGACACACACACACACACATTGCTCAATAGAAAAAAGTTTTAACTCCACATTGCACAATGAAAGAAAACAAGGTGATTAATTTTGGCAACTATATTTTCCCCAAAATATTGCATTAAATTATCTTTTACAGATACAGGTTTGGGTGTTTATGATGACAATGTCTAATTTTTAACACTGTTCTGCCAATACTACAAGAAAAATTACTTTGAATAATCTTATTTAGGTACTAAGCAGTTGTAATTAACTCCTTCCTATATATTCCATTTATTCTGACAACGAAAATGTGTAGCTCAAGCTTGTTATCATATGCAAGTCCAGGATTTAGTAGTATAATGCCTGTCTTAGAATTGACCTTCATGTCATTTTAATTTTTAGACTATTGGGTGTTCTCAAAAGCAAATAAAGGACCAATGTAATATTTAAAACACTTGACAAATGTAACAAACAGGTGACAAATTCAAAATAGAAAAATCTATGTTTCATTAGGGCAAAAGAAGAGAGCAACATACGGTAACATAATTAGTCTGCTTAGGAAAACACATCCACAGAATATATGCTGCTGGAGAAATGTAACAGGAGACTCACTCGTCTACTGCAAGGCCTTGAAAAATGTAGGTCTCTGTAAACAATAAAGAAAGAAAAAATACTCTTCTCTAATTGTTAAAGAGATGTTCAACCATCTGCAAACTATTTTTTAAGTTCTTGTTGTTCCCTTCCTTTGATTCCTATCAAGCCATGCTGTACTTTTGCTACTTTTGAGAATAGTGGGACTTTGAAGTCAATTAAACTCATTCCTCAGCTTGAAGGGAACAGCAGGTAGAACGTTGTCTTTGGCTCCTCATTAAGTAGTATATTGTTCCTTTCAATGATCTAATATCTGCAGCATAATCCACAATTCCGCATGTAGGTCTGGGTGATTATGCTTTTTCATATTATTTTTATTATTTTGGCAATACGAAGTCTAGGAGTAGGAACTAAAAGTTAGTACTTAAATCCTGGGGCAAGTAGGGAGGATACTGATAATGAACAATTTGTGAAATTATTTTTATTTTTGTTTTGCAACTTATGAGAAATCAAGAAAGGGAAACAAATTAAAGATCGATGCCTTGTTCTTTCAGAAAAGATTATATCTAAGATTGTCATAAGCTCAGCAATTCTCTCATTTTACGTCATAAAGGTTATTTTTAAAATATAGATTTAGACATAGGAAACATTTTTAGATGAACCAAATGCTTTTTTTAAAGTTTCAAATTTACTTCTTTTATTTCTTTCTTTTACTTCTTTACTTTCTTTATTATTTATTTATTATTTGATGGAGTCTCGCTCTGTCACCCAGGCTGGAGTGCAGTGGCACGATATTGGCTCACTGCAACTTCCAACTCCCCAGTTGAAACAATTCTCCTGCCTCAGCCTCCTGAGTAGCTGGGGCTACAGGCATGTGCTGCCATGCCCGGCTAATTTTTGTGTTTTTAGTAGAGCCAGGGTTTCACCATGTTGGCCAGGCTATTCTCAAACACCTGACCTCAAGTGATCTGCCAGCCTTGGCCTCCCAAAGTGCTGGGATTACAGGCTTGAGCCGCCACATGCAGCCCTTTAGTGAAGTTTTATTCTCTGTGCTTAATTTAATAAAAATCAGGTTAAATTTCTTCTCTATCTTTCTTTTAAAAAGCTTCTTTTTTATTTCTGTATAGCAAAGCATTTTATGTATATACACATATATATATTTTTTGTGTATTTTTTTATATGTGTGTATATATATATTTTTTGTATACATATCTGTGTGTATATAGATGTGTATACACACATATGTGTATTTTATAGACACACACACACACACATTGCTCAATAGAAAAAAGTTTTAACTCCACATTGCACAATGAAAGAAAACAAGGTGATTAATTTTGGCAACTATATTTTCCCCAAAATATTGCATTAAATTATCTTTTACAGATACAGGTTTGGGTGTTTATGATGACAATGTCTAATTTTTAACACTGTTCTGCCAATACTACAAGAAAAATTACTTTGAATAATCTTATTTAGGTACTAAGCAGTTGTAATTAACTCCTTCCTATATATTCCATTTATTCTGACAACGAAAATGTGTAGCTCAAGCTTGTTATCATATGCAAGTCCAGGATTTAGTAGTATAATGCCTGTCTTAGAATTGACCTTCATGTCATTTTAATTTTTAGACTATTGGGTGTTCTCAAAAGCAAATAAAGGACCAATGTAATATTTAAAACACTTGACAAATGTAACAAACAGGTGACAAATTCAAAATAGAAAAATCTATGTTTCATTAGGGCAAAAGAAGAGAGCAACATACGGTAACATAATTAGTCTGCTTAGGAAAACACATCCACAGAATATATGCTGCTGGAGAAATGTAACAGGAGACTCACTCGTCTACTGCAAGGCCTTGAAAAATGTAGGTCTCTGTAAACAATAAAGAAAGAAAAAATACTCTTCTCTAATTGTTAAAGAGATGTTCAACCATCTGCAAACTATTTTTTAAGTTCTTGTTGTTCCCTTCCTTTGATTCCTATCAAGCCATGCTGTACTTTTGCTACTTTTGAGAATAGTGGGACTTTGAAGTCAATTAAACTCATTCCTCAGCTTGAAGGGAACAGCAGGTAGAATGTTGTCTTTGGCTCCTCATTAAGTAGTATATTGTTCCTTTCAATGATCTAATATCTGCAGCATAATCCACAATTCCGCATGTAGGTCTGGGTGATTATGCTTTTTCATATTATTTTTATTATTTTGGCAATACGAAGTCTAGGAGTAGGAACTAAAAGTTAGTACTTAAATCCTGGGGCAAGTAGGGAGGATACTGATAATGAACAATTTGTGAAATTATTTTTATTTTTGTTTTGCAACTTATGAGAAATCAAGAAAGGGAAACAAATTAAAGATCGATGCCTTGTTCTTTCAGAAAAGATTATATCTAAGATTGTCATAAGCTCAGCAATTCTCTCATTTTACGTCATAAAGGTTATTTTTAAAATATAGATTTAGACATAGGAAACATTTTTAGATGAACCAAATGCTTTTTTTAAAGTTTCAAATTTACTTCTTTTATTTCTTTCTTTTACTTCTTTACTTTCTTTATTATTTATTTATTATTTACTTATTTACTTCTTTATTTACTTTCTTTTATTTCTTATAGGCCATCTCAGTTTGAAGTAGAACTCAGAGTTTTCTTCCCACCTTAGCCTCATTAGCAAAAGTATCTGCCTATGCTTTATGTCTGAATTGCAGGAAGTTTAGCTCTAAGTCAATATATAAGACAGTATAAGAAAGAATAAAAGTCTATGGCTTCTAAGGAGAATGGGCTTTTCTATCCTAAAATCTATCACAACTCAAACAGGTCAGAAGCTAGTTAGTGGAAGGGTTTGTTGGATTATTGGTTCATTTGGGGCCACTTATTTTCTTTGGACTCTAGTTTTCTTATCTATTACACAAATCCTACCTGCCATACATATTTAATGTGATTATTAACAGAGAAACATAGGTGAAGCCACTTAATTAATTATAAATAATTGAACAAATCTTTACTAGCAGGATGGCAATGACAATAAAATAGCCTTTTCATTTTTAGAAGTCTGCTGTTTCATTCAGTAGTTGGCAGGTAGTAGACTATCAATAAAATTTGTGGAACTAAATTAAATCAAGACCAATGGAATTTGAAAAAGAAACAAAGCAATAAGTAAACACAGTGGAATTTGAAAAAGAAACAACAAAAAATGTGTTTGAAAGACTTCCTGTTGTAAGAGAAGGCTCGGATTCCAGAATTAGAAAAACTAAAAATGAATCACTTAAAATTTACCTAAACTCAAGATTCCTTTTTTAGTAGTAGAGAGAAATAAACTAAAACCACAGGGAAGAACTTGGCAAATGGTGTAATATAAATTATTAGAAAAAAAGCGATTAAGTGAAGAAACAGCTTCCGAAAAACATGTCAATACTTATGTATAAAATATCTAAAGTGCTTCAGGAGGTAATCCAGTAGGAAGCAATGTGGCATCATGATGGAATTGGAGGTGATGTTTGTTTTGTGTTGGGATTTTTCCAAGCTCAAGTAGAAGCACAGCACTAACAAGTCAGCTTCTGGTTGTTATCAACTCATTTTGCACCTGGAGGAGAAAAAGAAAATACTTCAGAACACAGTGGAAACTTTCCAGAGGATTTAATACCATGTCATGTAAATCTCTGTAAAGGGAAAAATCTGGTATGCAGCACTTAGTAGCAACAAAGCTTGTGTGCTAGGATAGAGTCAATTATCCAGTTAGTGATTTGTAAGAAGAAAGTTTTCCTGGAAGAACTTCTAAATTTTAAAAACAAACAACAAGCAAAAAACTGATCGTCACTCTTTAGATCATTTTCTAAAGGGAAATTTTAAAAGACAGAAATCAACTGGTTACAATGCTCATTTTATTACATACATACATACATACATACATATGCATGTGTGTGTTCGTGCATTTCTAACTCAAGCAATTTTATTCTGTTGGCTGTACTACAAGCACACAGATATCTTTTCTCTTCTGAGCCCATATTCTCACAATACTGCTGCTTTCCAATCTCTTCTTTTCTCCTTTACGACTTGCCTGCAGTTCTTGAAAGAAAATTAGAAAGGAGATCTTAGAGTCAGAGGGGCCATGACAAGATTATCTGATCTTCTATTGTATAATTCTCCATGTTTTACTGAGCAGAAAACTCAGTTCTAGACTGGTTAAAGGACTTGCTCAATGTCACACAGTTTTGATAAAAAGGAGACACTACCTTTTGCAATATTACCTTGTTTTATTTCCTTCCAGAAATTTATCATTATCAGAAGTGATTTCATTACTTTATTAGTTTACATGCATTTGACTGTGTTCAAACATTAAAATATACACCCATGAGTTTAAGGACTCTGACTATCTTATTAATACCTAGAATCCCCAGCACTTAAACAATGTTTAGCATGTCATAGGTATTCATATATATTTATTGAATAATGAACCTGAATTTTGGTCTTGTGTTTGTAAACGATGCCTTTTAAAACTTTACCAAATAATCTTGTGAAAAACAGC